ACTCTTCTTCCACTTTAAGGGTAGCAGCTGCATATGTTTCCCCAATGTTGTTTTTAGCTCGGCAAATATACTGACCAGCATCTTCCATTGTCACCCCAGAGATGTAAAGGCTGTATACCTTGCCATCTTGAGTAATACGGTAACGACCCTCAGGAAGAATAGACTCGTTTTTCCGCTCCCAGATCACATCTAGTTGGGGATCTCCACCAATCTGACATTTAAGAACAGCATCTGTTCCACATTTCACCAGAACTGGACGTGGGTAACCAAGCACACGTGGAGCACCTCCAAATACATCCATATTTTTTACTGTCTTGTAATCACTTATTCTGTGTTATTATTGGAATTAGGAATGGCACAAATATCTGTGGCACATACCAAGCTCTGGAAAAACAAAAACAGTTTTACACTTTACACATCATTTTTCAATCTGACATTAGCATTCCTGTTATTATAACTCATTGTGAGTTATAAATTCAACCAATGTGTTTTTCTCTCTCTATCTCTCTAATTTGGAAACTTGCAGCTCAATTAATCACTAAAGACATTTTATAGATGGTTATGATGAGACGTAAAGTATGAAAAGTTAATAAACAAATACATATAACTTTGGCTAATGAAAAAAAAAAACAGTGCAAGAAATTTCACAACTGTAACAAATGTCAAACACTCCATTTTGTACATTCTTTCTGAATCCAGTCCAAAAAAAATATTACAACCTTCCCTTAGGGATGGGTAGATCGACAGCTAGTGTCGACACACGTTTCGAGTTTTTGACACACTAGTGCTTCGAAACAGTGTTTCGGTCCATTTAGTGCAATGCTATAGTTATATCAGTCAGCATGCCTATGTAGTGTTTTTACGTGGTGTATCGTTGTTAATTATATTACTACTATTAAAAACAATGACATGTGACTGAATGAAAATTAAAACACTGTTGACTGATTGTCTGTTGTCAATCAACTGTTGTCTGTTGACTGAATGAAAATTAAAACACCTTGTGGGCTCAACCACTGTTCCCAAAAAGGATAAAAGTCCTTCTTTAACAACAAAAATTTTTGCTGCTTGTAAACGCCTAACTCAGTTGTCAACAGCTCACACTGGCGAGAAAAATATATTATTGCAAAATATATTAAATGCAATAATTGCAATTGTATTTGTGCATTTGTGTTTTTTAACCATGGGAATGTTGTCCTCCATTTCAAAATGTACTAAAGAATATACAATTTACACTCGCAAGGTATTCATATGGATACGACTGACGACAGGGCTTGATTCCAGTGTTATCCCATCAGTTGCTGTCAACGGTCTGCTATCAGTGTTAATGATAATATACGACCTGGTGAATTATCTTTTTGAGTTGAGTAATAATGTTTGTTCTGCTGTTTTTTTAACTGTTCAAGTACAGTGATATAGATGCAGTAGTACATATTTTAATAACTGTATGTAATGTGGTGTTTTGTTTCATGTTCATGTTTTCCATGTCTTTTATTTTGTAATTGTTTCATGGTCCATGTTAGTGTCATGCTTCCCTTGCCTCATGTCTCTCTGCCTTGTGTATGTGTCATGTTCTGATTGGTAGTCTTTGTCAGGTGTCTTGTTCCCCATTGGTTTGTTCATGTCATGTGACCCTCTTGTTTGCTATAAGTAGCCTTCATGTTCCCATTGTGCCTTTGTCGTGTATTGAATGTATTTAACCCACTGTTGGTGAGTCTAGTCTGTTTGTGTCAAGTCTGCTCATGCTATGTCTGTTCAAGTCAAGTCAAGTCAAGTCAAGTCTGTGTCTTGTTGTTTGGATGTTTGGATCACTCTGTAAATAAACTGCACTTGGGTTCTCACTACGCTCGCCTTCAGTGGATGCAGAGCCCTCTCCTGTCCACGAGTCCGCTCCAGAGCCCTCTCCTATCCACGAATCCGCTGCAGAACCTCCAGAGGTGGTGGCGTCCGTTCATGAACTCACCGTCTGTTCTGCCACGGCCAAGGAAGCCGTTCACAAACTCACTGTCTGCCCTGTCATGACCAAGGAGGCCGTCCATGAATTCACTGCCTGTCCTGTTACGGCCATGGAGGCCGTTCATGAACTCACTGTCTGTCCTTTCACGGCCATGGAGGCCTTTCAAGAACTCTCTGCTTGCTCGGTCACAGGCAAATGGTCTGTCCATGTCTCTGCACCGCCATGGCTTCCTGCTCTGCCGTCATCACCCGGCCGCCCTGCTCTGCCTGCACCGCCATGGCTGCCTACTCTGCCATGGCTCCCCGATCTGCCTGCTCCGCCATGGCCCCCCGGTCTGCCTGCTCCGCCATGGCCCCCCGTTCTGCCTGCTCCGCCATGGCCCCCCGTTTTATTTATTTTTAAATGCATTATTTACTGTATTCTTGAAGGTTACTGGAGCTATACCGTTGATTCCAATGGAAAATGCCAAGAAACCCCTTGATGTGTTCTCAACCTCCCTTTCAAAGTAACTGTGTTTGTATTATGATTGTCTGTTTATATGCCAATTGTATATATGCTAATAGATTAAGCTTCATTCCATATATTTGTGTAAAACTGGGGACTGAGATTTCAAGCAAACCATTTTGTACCTCTGTCTGTCTCTGTCTCTGTGTGTGTGTGTGTGTGTGTGTGTGTGTGTGTGTGTGTGTGTGTGTGTGTCACATCCACAGATGCATATCCGCCTGCGGTTCTATGACACAGCAGCTCTTACCACGTTGGCCTCAGCACTCCAGACCCTTCCGGGTCATCAACTCTGACCGCTCCATTAAGAAAGGCATCATGGCAAATGACCTGAGAAATCTACGGAACAAGGTGAGGACAGCAATTAAATCAAAGAAACAATAAGAAACATACTCAGGAAGTGCTTGTTTCTGCAAGCTACCAATTATTAAGTACATTGGAACATTTGACCATTTGACACACTTGAAAATAATTGATCAATGGTATCAATGCTTGATATATGAAAGTCAAATAAGACACATTTTTATTTATCACTATTACGGTGGAGTAAAATGTATTTTATGTTGAATTAAACTACACTGGATCAGATAATGTTTCCATTACAACTGTTATTCACTTTGGTTCTTAGTAGTGGTTAAAATAAATGATTATATGTGATAACTCAAAAGTTGGAGGGTTAGTGCCATGTAGAGCCAGCCTAAGAACAGGAGCACTTCTTGAAATTCCATCACAGTTGCTCTAAAGATCTTTGAATGTTTTTTCCCTTCTAGGTGATGGATATATTCCACATGCACTGCATCCGGGCTTTAGTGTTGGATGAGGATGGAACTGGAGTGGATACAGAGGACTTTTTTCAAACATTAAAAGATAACACTGTCCTAATGGTCTTAGGGGAAGGACAGAAGTGGGCTCCACAACAGGTCAGTGTTTTCATCTAAGGTAAGATCAACAGAACAGAGACATGTTTGTTGAAATTGACTGTAATATAATGCATTTTCATGATGTTCTTGGACTGTGTTCATTTTATCAGCATTCTTGTGCTCACACGATTGCTTTCAAATTATATGCTGTGTTGTGTAGATCCCACTTAGTGCAATTCTATATTTAGTGGTTTATAGTAACATAATTAATTAGACATTAACCATTTTCACAATTCCATAATCATTTTGGTCTACTGACACACACAACATCATGTCTAGTATTAAGCATAATCATGGACACAAATTTATGTTCCACTGTGATTAACATGCACTTTGATAGCACCTCCTGGTGGAACCATTGAACTGCAGACTGAGTTTAGATCTTGTGCAATAGACATCTGAGAGTCATGTCTGTTCTCAGTTTATTGACCTATTTCTTATGAAAATAGCAATGTGTCAGCCAGTGAGTTGAAGGAGACGAAGGTGAAGGAGGTTTGAAATGTTCATGCAAGCATGTGATAAGTCTAGTCTAAGTCGGTTGGCCAGAGTTAAAAGACTTAATTACTCAAAATATGTTATATGATCTTAAACACATTGTTGATCGAAATGAATTTAGATGTCAACAAACGCATAAAGGACACTTTTTTTTTCAGAAACACTTTCCGGGTCAGAAGAAAGTAGAAAGGGTAAGTGTGAAGAATGAAATGGACCTCCTTAAAGCATATCTGATCAAGTGTCAAGTGTTTTTTATTGTCATTTCTTTCCTGCATTGCGAGGAACAAAAAAAAACAGTGTCTCTGGGAGTACAGAACATACAGAGTGCAAGTCTCGTACAAAGCCTATAGTTAGATTCCTTGCTCTCTCCTGTCTTCTAAGAAACCTTTTTAAAGGTCATGGTACCTTATAAGCGATCAATCTGGAATGCTCTACATAGGCAGCATCAGTCATGTGACCTTTGCATGTTCCTAGGCAACCAGCCTATGCTCTTCAGGATTAGACTAAGGCTTTCACATCAAGTTTCAGGCAAGACATTGATAAAACTGTATATAATTTTGTGAAACATCTTTGTGATTCTACACCAGCTCAAAAATGAAAATCAATACATAGCTAAAGAGTTTACACCTGAGGTTAATCGCTGCCTTTAAACAGCGCCATTTTAACAAACCAAAATAAATAAATAAATAAATAAATAATAATACAGTATAGATATATTGGTGCAGAATGTTGTTCTTGTTTGTATATATTGTTTATATTTATAAACTAAGCCCATCTTGACACCATCCCAGCAAAGGATACATTCGATGTTTCATTAGAATTTGACGAAAAATAAGGCATTCTAAGGAGACAGAATATTTAAGAGACCTATTTTTTGGAACAACCTTCACATTGTGCATAGAATGCCTCTGAAGGCAGCTCACTAGGTTTTGAAACAGATATTATGTACTTACAATACCAAAAATTATTTCTAATAATTATACTGGACCAATTTCCTTTACAATACTGGTTGCTCTTTTTAAGGCACTTTCATGCTAAATGCAAAAAAGTTAACAAATCACAGACTAATGGTCATTTTTCAGAATAATGCTGAAAGAAAAGCAAATTTACAGCCATAGAATAAAGGGCACAACACAAATACACCTTTCAGCTGCCCATCCGTGATATATTTTTACTGTCACTAAAACCATTCTTATTAATCAAATGTAGTATCTACTCTGGCCTAATGATATTTAGTATGAAACTTATTTCAGAAATAAAAATAACAATTTATTAACTTTTCTTTACAACCAAAAGGCTTTGGAAAATTCTTAGTATGACAGATATGTCATTCTTTACAAGATGTGTAGTCCTGCAAAGAAAAATTTATGTATCTCAGTAAAATGTGATTTTAATTCTGCGAGTGCACAAATAATTTATTTGTGGAGGACGCTGTTTGTAGTAACAATGTCCCAAGGGGACTCAGAGATGAGTGGGGACTGGATCTAAGTGCCGACAAAACATTATAATAAAGATAAATCAAATCAAACAAGACAGTAGAAATAAAAGAAACAAAACAGAAACATCAAATAAACTAAAATGGAATTAAGAAAACCCACAAAATGCTAGGGAAAACAAACCAAGACCTAACAAAGCACAATGGAATTCAAGTGCTGAATAAACAAGGGATAAATGAGAGAAACAAGAAACTAATCAATAAAGAAACTACAACCTGACTACAAAACTAAAAAAGGAAACTAACATACCAACATTTCAACATAAAAGTCCACAGAACAGGGAATTACACTTTTTATTGCATCCTTCAATTCCTTCATGTCTATCCTGCACATTACCTCCCCCTCCCCCCATATGTCCTTCTTCCATAATTTTGAGATTTTGACTGAAATGCCAACTACCACATCTTTTTTCCCTCTCTCTCTCTCTCTCTCTCTCTCTCTCTTTCCATGTCATTACTACACAGAAACATACAACTAAGAGTGATCCTGGATGTGGCTGGAAAAAAACAAGGAAAGACGTTGCCAAACTGACTTTTGATCTTTACAAAAATCACCCACAGGATTTTATTGGCTGCCTAAATGTGCAGGCAACATTGTATGGAATGTACTCTGTGTCATATGATTTGCAGTGCTATAAGGCAAAAAGAATGCTAAGGTAAGTGTATTTGTCCATGTGTGTCATTAGAAGCTCTGTAGTTTGAGATAGGGAGAGAAAGAAATAATATAATGTAACAATTAAAGTATGTAAGCCAACACAGGCCATTAGATGATGGTATCTTATCAAGGATTCATGAATCCCAGGTGCTTAGCAATGCTTTCGTGCCTACCCTGCTTTAGGGATTACTTTTAAGATTGAGACATGGTTCACACTAACCACTCTTTCTTGAGAAAAACAGATTTGGTAAAGACCAGGCTTTGCGTGCCACTATAAAGACTTATACCTATTCACTCAGCTGACATACAAATAGTCTTGTGTGAAGTGCATGTATACATAGTCAATAATAAATTATACAAAACAATAGATCATAAATTATCTTTATTTAACTTACTATATTATAGAAAGTAAACACAAAAGGCTTATGTCTCACTGATCTTCTTTTCTCTCTGCTAAAAGGGAAGCCCTAAGATGGACTCTCTTCACTATGCAGACTACTGGCCATGTTTTAGTAGGAACTTCGTGTTATATGCAGCATCTTATTGATGAGGACGAGAAAACGGAGGCACAACTGATATCGCCTGCATGCATCACCAAGCAGTTACAACATTAAACGATGGTGTTTCACGGCTAGGGCAAACTAACCAGAGTGCACTGCTTGTTGATTTAATGCTTCATAAAATGTATATTTGTGAGTTATTAAATTCTATGTAAACAGCAAAATGTACAGTTAAAGTTAACAATGTTTACACATAAAAAATATATAAGAAATTAAACGTTAATGTTATTTCATTTATTTTGGCTTTAAATTTTAATTCCCGTCCTCACAAAATTGTAAACCCAACTCTTACATGTGAGAGGTTACACCACTCTTGAATTTTCAATTTCATGAACATGTCTGGGGGGACACAAGGTTACATGTGGTTTGCCATTGCAAGGACGATCAGCTGTCCTTCCTATCTCCCTTAGGCATCTTACATTACGGATATTGAAGTTTATATCTGCAGTCCTCATGCAGTCAGAGTCCGTATAGGTCTCTTTAATATCTATGGTTTAAGGTTTGTTTTTATGTATAATAAAAAGTATGAAAAATATTGTTTAAACCCTTTCCAATAAAGATCTGTAAAGCTTATTTTGATTTTACTAAATTATCTGTAAAATACCTTATCCTGAAAAAGGAACCATTCTTTCTTTCCTTTTGATTACATATTACATATGGGACCCTGGACCACAAAACAGCATAAGGGTCAATTTTATGAAATTGAGATGTATAAATCATCTGAAAGCTGAATAGATAAGCTTTCCATCGATGTATGGTTTGTTGGGGTAGGACAATATTTGGCTGAGATACAACTATTAGAAAATCTGGAATCTGAGGGTGCAAAAAAAAATCTAAATATTGAGAAAATCGCCTTTAAAGTTGTCCAAATGAAATCCTTAGCAATGCATATTACTAAGCAAAAATTAAGTTTTGATATATTTACAGTAGGAAATTTACAAAATATCTTCATGGAACATGATTTTTACTTAATATCCTAATGATTTTTGGCATAAAAGAAAAATTTATAATTTTGGCCCATACGATGTATTGTTGGCTATTGCTACTTATGACTGGTTTTGTGCTCCAGTGTCACATATAGATACATATTACATATAGATAGTTCTTTATTACAGCCTAAGAACATAGAAGACCATTTAATTGATATTCTTTAACAATGTCAACAGAATAAAAGTACTTGCATGCTGTGAGGATTTTATTACCACATATTTCCACAAGAGGACAAACAGGGATAACACAGAGGAAGGTGCTTGTACCATGGCACACAGATCTATCGATCTATCCATGTTCTATGGTTGTGGATAGAAGGGGTACAGCAACGGCCGGAAGTGAAGCAAAATCTTGCTGGAAGGACAGGAAGAAAGTGAAAAAAAAATTAATACAATAAAATTTAATTAAATTAAATGGACAGTAAAGAAGACAATTGCAAACTAATCAGCCTAGATTGTGGCAAAATCCTTTGAACTAAAATCTCTTTAAGTCACGCCGATGTATTGTTGGCTATTGCTACTTATGACTGGTTTTGTGCTCCAGTGTCACATATAGATACATATTACATATAGATAGTTCTTTATTACAGCCTAAGAACATAGAAGACCATTTAATTGATATTCTTTAACAATGTCAACAGAATAAAAGTACTTGCATGCTGTGAGGATTTTATTACCACATATTTCCACAAGAGGACAAACAGGGATAACAGAGAGGAAGGTGCTTGTACCATGGCACACAGATCTATCGATCTATCCATGTTCTATGGTTGTGGATAGAAGGGGTACAGCAACGGCCGGAAGTGAAGCAAAATCTTGCTGGAAGGACAGGAAGAAAGTGAAAAAAAAATTAATACAATAAAATAAAATTAAATTAAATGGACAGTAAAGAAGACAATTGCAAACTAATCAGCCTAGATTGTGGCAAAATCCTTTGAACTAAAATCTCTTTAAGTCACGCCGAATGGACAGGAAAAATGAGACAGTGATTTTGGTTTTGCAAGACATGCATCATTTCTAGCCGTAGATGTATCCCTGCTAGCCACAACCATGTTTTGTTAGTATAGTTCCCTATCTGTCGGTCACTATGAGTTATGTCATAATGACATAGGGGGTTTCTCCCTGTGTCCTCGAGAGCGCCTCCGCCCCATGCTGAGACACCGTCGAGGCCGGTGCATCGAGCCTCTCAAAGGACTGCTACATGCATCGCTACATGCAACAGGCAGGCAGCCTCGGGGCTCTGGACAGGGCCTCGACTGCTTTAGCACATCAACTGCTTAGAGCTGTTGGCAGTGCATCTGGCTTTGCAGCAGTTCCGGCCATTGCTGCAAGACAAGCATGTGTTGGTCTGCACTGTCTCGTACATCAACCGGTAGGGTGGTCTACGGTCACCTCGCATGTCACAGCTCGCCCGTCATCTCCTCCTCTGGAGTCAGACGCGGCTCAAGTCGCTGCGCGCCATCCACATTCTGGGGGAGCTCAATCGTGCAGCCGTCGCTCTCTCACGACAGCTCACATTCTGTGGAGAATGGCGACTCCATCCCGAGACGATCCAGCTGATCTGGAGTCAATTCGGGAAAGCCCAGACCTGTTTGCTTCCCATGATTCCTCCCACTGCCAGGTGTATTACTCCCTGACGGTGGCCACCCTCGGCACGGATGCACTGGCACAAGGCTGGCCTCAGGCTCTACGCAACTATGCGTTTCCCCCAGTGAGCCTTCTTGCACAGACACTGTGCAAGGTCAGAGAGGACGAGGAACAGGTATTGCTGGTTGCACCTTACTGGCCCACCCGGACCTGGTTTTCGGAACTCATGGTCCTCGCGACAGCCCCTCCCTGGCGCATCCCTCTGAGGAAGGACCTCCTTTCTCGTGGCTCGGCACCATATGGCACCCGCGTCCAGATCTCTGGGACCTCCATGTGTGGCTCCTGGACGGGACGTGGCAGACTTAAGTTATCTGCCACCGGCGGTGGTAAACATGATCCCTCCACCAAGGAACGAGGGTTACGTATGTAACCGAGACGTTTTCATTACCAGACAGAACCAGTGATGGCAAACACAGTATGCAACCCCAACCTAACTCTGTGATATTACAGGTAAAGGCTTTAACATAAATACATTTTGCTGGGAGCCACAGCCATTCAGCTGAAACATTTAAAATTTTAAGATAAGCAATATCAATAAAATTCTGTCTGAAGAACAGTATTTTCCCCTTTTGTCTATATTTATATTTGAGGCACAAGTCAAGGCAAAGTCCTGTTTAATATGTTCATGACAATCAAATGTTCCTTGATCTTTCAACATATAGTTCATTGTAGTTTAAGAACAAACTAACTTTCAGAACTCAAAACTTCTCCCTCAGTGCAAATAGGACAGCATAGGACTGTTTCCACAGCAACACATTAAATGGCTACTTCCTTCCTGCCATACCTATTAGAGCCCAGTAGATGAAATGAGAAACATTAGGGGTACCCTTAAGGGTTGTTCCCACAGGACATGCTCTACTTTTGTTTTTAATTGTTTTTAACACTATATTGATGTCTTTGCCCATTGGGATACACCTTTTGCATTTTTAAGACACTGTTTTAAGTTAAAAGGTGAGTAGTAGGAGTTCAGCAATCATTCTACTGGCCCAGCTCCAGTCCACACAACCAGTTTTCCCTCAACACACAAAGAATGACAGCCCTGTATTGACCAGATCTGGATTAAAGAGCAAAAATCAAAGCTGGCCCAAGTCTCAGCCAAGTCTCAATTTTCTTTATGTGTATTTCTTTTACTTAATTATTTTTTTTGTAATAATGTTTTGGCAGTATTGTATGAAGACACAATCATGCTAATAAAGTACATTACATTGAATTGCAACTCAATTCACAATTCACAAATCATCCACCTGAAGAAAAAAGCTAAACAGCCTGGTCTCATTGTACGTAGGTGGTGGAAGCGAGGCACAATCTAACGCAGGGCTAGTTGTAACATACATGGGCTGTGTCCAAAATCGCCCCCTTACCTTTAAATATGGCACTATTTGAGGGATCAACCCATTTGCAGTGATGTGCCCGAAACCATAGTTCAATCCCATAATGCACCACAATAATGAGCGTACAACCAATTTATGCTCAATGACAGAGAATAACCATAATGTACCCATAATCCAAGTGAGAGTCATGCTAAATGAATCACCCATCCATCCACTTTTCCAATGTGGATACAAAACAATACTATACAGGTATAAATTGTGTTTTAACGGATTATTAAATAGCTTAATTAAGGTTAGGTTCCATGACAGAAGATGCATCCTAAATCACGTAGGCCTACTTATACACTATTCTATGTTTTGTAGTAAAAATAGTGAGCAGTGTGTTCACACTAAAAATACCAAAAAGTGCACTTTAAATAACTGGATGATGCACTTAAATAACCAAGAAAAAAAAGTGTTCTGTTGGACACTTCATGCACTCAATTGTCGCAGCTTTAATTATATAGCAAAGTGGGAGGGGCTATCAGATACTGATTATGAATGACAAAATAACCTTATATAATAATATACTACATGGTTGAGTACATAGTCTATAGTGCATCATTTGGGATGCAGCTAGAGTTCTAGATACATCTTTTTTGTCACTACTCGAGATTCCAGTTTGCTCAGTTTCAAATGATTATAAAACAGCAAGCACAAACTGTGCAAAAGCGGCAGTGCTTCTGGCGCACTCAGTGTCCGAATTCACTCTCTCATTTTAAATCACTCCTTCAACTGGACTATATTAGTGAAATAGTGATGAGAGCATAGGTGGGTGATTTCAAACATTTAGCTCACACATTTTAGAGATAAATTTCACTAAATAAATCAAGTTACATATAAATCTCAGATACTACAAACTTTGAGTATTTCTTACTTAATCTCAGCCACAAGTATGCTAATAAATTATGCAGTTGCTTTGTTTTACTATTTTCTGACTTTTTTGTCATTTTATTTGCTGTCCCTGTTGTACGTATTTAAAGTCTTAAAATTAAATTTGATTGATACCATTGTTGTGTTCTGCATGCTGAATGTTGAGGTCTGCGTAAGAAACAATTAAAGTAATTTGCAAGATATTGTCTCACTTTAAGAGGGATAATATCAATAGTGTGATGTATGTACAATTGCAACAATAGTATGGTTTTTATGACACATTAAAGGGGTCCTATTATGCTTTTTCACTTTTTCAACTTTAGTTAGTCTGTAATGTTGCTGTTTGAGCATTAAAAAAAGATCTGCAAAGTTACAAAGCTCAAAGTCCACTTCAAAAGGAGATATTTTATTTAACAGAAATCACTTTTCAAAAACTACAACGAACGACTCGTTTGGACTACAACGCATATTTTCCGGGATTTGTGATATCACAAATATCGACGAATGGGATGAGACCTAGTTGAGCTGCACTAGAGAAGGCAACGAGTGTTATCACTATGTCGGAGACAAGCTTTCCCAAGGCAGACGAATTTAGAGTGGTTACAATCATCCGGGTTTAAATCGCGCTCAAAATTATTTGATTTTGACAAAATATTTACACTGAAGCT